CAGGAATGCCTTGCTACCGTGCCAACAGGGAAACTTTAAGATCTACTCACTGTGGTTAAAAATCTCAGAAACCCAGACTAGACAGGATGTCCCCAGGACAAACTCTAGACCAGGCAAGTTGAAAGGACTTTTACTGTTCTCTGCCACTATTAAACACTAACTGGCACAATTTGTCTTAAGGCCAGGTTTACTCAAATGAGTCTTCAGGGACTTGGTTTGTTTATTGATACACAGAGGCAAAAATCAGCAGAACATACAGAACAGGCAAGATCCGCATTCTCAGGCAATCTTAATTACAGGGGTACAGACCACCAAGCCCCACTTCCATTAGAACTGACCAGTGCAATATGAGCTCCCACACCACATAAAGCAGCAGAGGAGCTGTGAAAGACTCTGCTCTCACTGCCCAAATGCACGCAGCGAGTTCCTTGTGTTTCAGTTAGAAGGAAAAAGGCAGTGCTCAGGTACAGATCTTGAAATGATGGCATCCAACCAGAAAATCCCTTCATTTTCTGTCCTGCAATTTCAAGATTCAGAAAGGCAGAAGGTGTCTCTGAAGATCAAAAGGTATCTCTGTAGATTAAAATCTTCAATCTGCTAATGGCTATAGTCCTTTGAAGAAAAAAAACATCCAAGAAATCTCACAGACACATAGCCTGGTTCTTTTTTGGGTATGACTTTTGTGTTTGTGTGGCATCGGGAACAGAAAAATGGAGCTCTCTAGTGTAATGCTATTAAAACCTGTATTGTTGTAGCTCCTGTTCTTCTGCCCTGGCATTTCCCGACCTTACTCCCCGTGTTTGTTATCAGTGCGTAGCAACAGCTCACGGACAAGCGGAGCGCACCGTGCTGTGAGATCATCTCAGTCACGCGGCACTGAGACTACAGCTACGACTGCTCTCTTCCCAGGAGCGCCAATAATTACACAGGTCCCGCCTGTATCAGTGAATGCCCTAGCTACTCCTGCTGCTACTTCATTTAATTCCTTTCCCAAAGCAAATTAGCCACAAAACTGTTGGGGGCGTGCAGACTGAAGGAGGAACAATGTCAGTAGGTTTGCATGTGACATTCATGCTCTGCGAGGACTGCCAGAAGACAGCCTGCAGGGTTCACCTTTCTAACTGGCAGAGACTGAGGAGGACAATGGGAAGTGGAGCCCGGAAAAAGGACAAGAGAGCAAGCAACAGTTGGAAGGAAAGAGCAAGATGGTTCATAAATGTGACAAGTTTTATTAAAATCGCTCAACCAGATTAGCTTGTAACAGAATAATAGCAATGTGTAAGTAAATCTGCAGTCAGCCAAAAGTAGGAGTGAGGTCATCCCCACCTGAGCCTGGGTGCCTCTGACAGAGATCTCGTTTCTCTCTAACACCTGCTCCCAAAGCCTGCTTGTCTGTCTCTACGGCAGACGCACAACAGCGCAGCAGGCCCCTGAATGGGGCCTCTAGTTTATAACAGCCTTGTGGATTAAATTCCTTGACACAAACATCATAACATGTGTAGATATGCTGAAGTCTCCTTTCATGCACCATCACGAATTCCTACTCAGCTCAGCTGGAACCCTATGAAATACACACCAGTGCATGGGACTGGTGCTTTTGTACCACCACGAAAGGGAGCAGCAGACATATCCCTGCTACAGGGTTAGCATTCTTTCTTAGTCTGGCACTGGAGGCCAAGCAACTTGGACTCTGGAGCCCCAAAGGCCCACAGATGAGCTACAGGGAAAAGTGGCGCTCAACTTCCAGTTTTAATCTAACCAACACAGCTTTAACTGCAGTTCAGCTCAGATAGCAGCACACAGGAGCCAGGGAAGGATCCAGAGAATCAGCCAAGTGGAAGTACTAGCAGATGGAGAACACTTTAACTCCCTTTCCTCAACACACTTTTCATGGAGCTCTGATGCTGCAGAAAGATGACAGAATGACAAATAGGAAATGAGGACCTTTTCATTATTTAGGCCATGAACAACATAAGCAGCAGCTAATATCCCGATCATGTGCCTGGATCCTGTTTCCAAACGTCATCTCTAGGTCGATCATTTCCATGCCCCCTCTGCTGAGATGGCTAGGAATGGGAGGATTTATTCAGTAATCTTGCTGCCATTATATATGTGTGCGAGCGTGCACTCCTACTGAGATCTGAACTGACCCCCCACCCCAACAGATGCGTATACCTTATTACATTTTCACTATCAGATAGTTAATAATCAACTGCCTGGGCTGGACTGGAACCAGCAAGCGCTATCAGTAAAAAATTCCGTATCATATTATCAGTGCCCCGAGCCATCTATCTGCTTTAGGCTTTGTCTAGATTAAAATAAAATTTCAAACAGATTAGCTACCACGTTCTTAGCTAACGTACTTTAAAACACTGGCAGTCCTTCAGAGGTTAGTGCCTTTTAAACATGATCAACCATAGGAAGCTGGGGGAGGAAGAGCACATATTAAAGATGGTAAACATTATTTAAAATAGAGTTTAAAACCATGTCGGTTAAAAACACACTGGCTAACATTCTTTTACGTGCAAATTATCTTCTGAACATAGAGCCAGCAGCAGCATTCTGCACTGATATTTCAGTTCCTGTTTACCTTTTTCTCATTACTAGAAAAACACCCTGTTCTTAACCTCAAAATATGGTATCTTAAAATCTTAAAAGCTGAAGGTCCCTGTCCATACCTTTACCCACAGATCTAGTTCCTAAGTCTATGTATGTAGGACTGATCTTGCCTTAAAAGAGAGGATGAGGACCCACCTTGCTGCTTTCTGAGTGAGTTCCATTGGGAAGTCGGGGCAGAGCAGCTGCAGCAGGCAGTGGTATTCCTGTGCTGTCAGCAAATCTGCAGGAAAAGAGAGATCAGAACATCGTAATTCTTTTACAGGCTGTTCCCTCCCCTTGCTTCCTCTCTAGAAAAGACCCTAATATTCCCTTCCACTCTCAATTCAAATAGACTGGGTACTAACGACAATATAACTCCTCCCTAGACCCTCAGACCCGGGCTCTTCAGATGGAGTTCCCAGCAAAGACAACCCGATAGCGGCCTGATAAAGGGGAAATCCTGCTGCAGGGACTCCTGCAGAGAAAATGGTAACAGGTAGTGAGTGATTCAGTGTGAAAAAGAGGTTACCAAAACAGGGCAGTTTCAAGTGAGAACACAGTTTGGTTTGACTTGAATATAACCATGTGGAAAAAGGAGTAATTTCAAAGTTGCTTAAATTTGCTGAAATTCACTGGCATGGTGACATTCACCACAATACGCCTGAAAACCATCCATAGAACATCTGGCCGCAGTAATAAAGGCAAACAAGGTTTTTGGGTTGTGTATGGAAGGCTACAGAGTATAAACCACAGACGTTATTCCTTTGGCATTCGGTAAGGCAGCTGGATGGTCTCTTTTGGAATAATGTGTACAAATCTGGTCACTGTATTATAGGAAGCAAAGAACGAAGATCCAAAGAACACAAGAAAGCCAATCAAATGATTCATGTTTTAGAGAGCAGCTTTGTGAAAGACTGGTCACGAAAGGCCTCTGTGGTTCAGCAGAAGAGGGGTGACTCTTAGGGAAGCTTATATGATCTCAAAGGAATGGAAACATACTGATGTCAAAAAGCCCTACATGATTGTATGTTCACAGTCCAAAAGGCTGTGGACTGGAGTTGAGGAGAAGGCGAGCTGAACAGCAGCAATTTTGCCGGACTTCTATATGCAGAAGAATGCGAAGTATGGAAACCAGGGGTGGAAGCAGAGCCAAGCAGTAGTCAGGGAGGGGATCCAAAGGGCAGAGGCATTAGGACTGAAGTACAGAGCATGAATTCCTTTGCCACAGACACATCTTAGCCTTCCTTAGGCTCCCATCCAAATCATCAACCCTGTTGTCCCAGATGAGAGTCACAACTTCTCCACATCTCCACAACTCTTCAAAGCCTGGCAGTTCAACAAAATTTTATTTTCAATGCTGACTAAAGAAATACTGCAGGAGGACTGTCACCAAAATCAAGTTATAGACTTTACCTACAGTATTCGCTAGGGAAGTGGAGGAAAGAAAGGAGAGAGCGCTATTATTTTTCTCTTCATTTCAGGAAACCCTCTAGCTGAAAAACACTTGTCAGACTCTGGGACATCCATTATAGACACTCTCTAGAGTACTATACTTTGCACCGCTCTTGGGAGGACTTTCTACCACATGAAGTGTCTTAGGTTTATGAATATGCTATGAAAAGGTTATCTTGCACGCTGAGTAGAAAGATTCTGCTCTGTCTGGAACAGCCAACTCTGCAGTCAGAAATCTGCTATAACGTAAGAAGTCTCAGCCTGTGCAGAGCTACACCACCACTGCAGGGATTTGTGCAACCTAGTCTACTGTAAAGATAAATACATCAGTCTCTTTTCTTGCAAAACTTGAACGCTGAGCTGAATTAGGTTTCTGTGACTGCACAGAAATTACAGATGTATGGGAGAATATGGAGGGCACTAACTTCTTTGTTATGTCATTTCTTACTAAAACACAAATCAGAGGCTGCTCTCTATTGCAGATACTACTTGGTCCTTCAGTCAGAGTGTATGTGAGTTTGGTTAATGATGGTATCCCATGGAATGGTGAGGTTTTCTCCTGCAATGTTAGCTAATCAGCTCCTTGAATGTCATCAAGGAAAGTATTATCAAGTTTTATGTATAACTGCAAAAAGGGTATTATTGAAAAAGTCCCAGTTATCACGAGCAGGAAGATGCATATTTTTAACTGAATTTTCAGCTCACTGTTTGTCTTTCATGACAGAACATAGAAAAAAGAAAATTTTTTTCTCTATTATTTTGCTAGATCAACAGTAATTTACAGCAATAGAGAGATTGGTCCTTAAGAAAACTATCTGATCATGTTAGACCTTTAAGACCATTGAGTCCAACTATTAACCTGACACTGCCAAGTCCACCACCAAACCATGTCCTGAAGTGCCACATCTACACATCTTTTACATACCTCCAGGGATGGCGACTCAACCCTTTCCCTGGGCAGCCTGTTTCTGTTTCTGACAACCCTTTCAGCTAAGAAATTTTTCATAACCACCTACCTAAACCTCCCCTGGCACAACTTGAAGTTGTTTCCTCCTGTCCTATTCACTTGTCAGTTGGGAGAAAAGACCAACACCCACCTCTCTGCAACCTCCTTTCAGGTAGCTTAGAGGGCAATAAGGTCTCCCCTCAGCCTCCTCTTCTCCAGGCTAAACAACTCCAGTTCCCTCAGCTGCTCCTCACAGGGCTTGTGCGCCAGAACCCTCCAGCTTTGTTGTCCTTCTCTGGACACACTGCAGCACCTCAGTGTCTTTATTCTTATACTGAGGGTCCCAGAACTGAACACAGGATTCGATGTGTGGCCTCACCAGTGACGAGCACAGGGGGGCAATCACTTCTCTAGTCCTCCTGGTCACACCGTTCCTGATGCAGGTCAGGATGCCATTGGCATTCTTTGTCACCTGGGCGCACTGCTGGCTTACATTCAGCTGACTGTCAACCAACAGCCCCAGGTGCTTTTCCACCAGGCAGCTTTCCAGCCACTCTTCCCCAAGCCTGTAGTGGTGCATGGGATTGCTGTGACCCAAGTGCAGGATGCAGTACTTGGCCTTATTGAATCTGATACAGTTGGCCTTGGTCCATTGATCCAGCCTGTCCAGACCGCTCTGAAGAGCCTTCCTACCCTCAACCAGATCAAAGCAGGGCTCACCCTGCAGCTGGGCAGCAGTGTGTTCCCACCAGAGCTCTGCCTGGGAAGCTGCATCAGTCATGGCAGATGCAGAGCTTAAAAGGAAGCAGGTTATGGGAAAAAAAGGAAGTTGGGAATAAAAAGGCTCTTTTGAAACAGACACTTCCTCGTAACTGAAGAAGAAAGTATGGACCTTGTACAACTATTCTTCAGGGCTTTCTAAATCTAGCCTTCAATAATGCTGGGCATTAGACTTCTGATCTTTGTCTAAAAAATCTACATGTTGGACTGAAGGAGTCACATCATTTGGAAACTTAATGCAATACTATGTTTACATTTTTCAATTGCTTAAGTTCAAGTTTCTACTTATGCATCCTTATACCTCATGCTCTCCATTATTTTTTCCTATAATAACCCTTTCTTCATATTGTATTTTATTCAATCTATTTAACTGATAACTGTATTTATTTAAAATTAAATCTGTTTATCTTACCCTCTACACCCCTCACTACCTAGCCCAGTCATCTGTCGCTCTGCTTTGATCCCCTTTAGATGTTCACAGTGTGGTGTCCAGCAGTGTACAAAGCATCCCTCATGCATTCAGAACAGGCAGGCTCTAGGAGGATAATCTGCCCACTTTCATCAGCAAAGTCCCTTTTCATTAATGCTGAATCTCAGCATCCTCTTTTCTCTCCCCCCTCAAAGGTGAAGTTTAAGGTTTTTTTGAAGGATGAGGTTTCCCAAGAAAGTTGGAATTTGTTCACAGTCCCCATCAGGTTGCTAGACAAAAGCAGCTTGAGAGGGTAACTGGGCCCTAAGTAAACATTCGTTTTGAGGCATAAATAAATATCTTTCACTTGCTGGAAATAAGATACTTTTGAAGCTTATAAAAATTTACGCTGTCTTCTCCTCCTCCCTCTTCATATCAAGTCACAACATCAACCTTACTCCTCTATCACAAAACAACGAAACAACACAGAGCAAAAGCAAAATTCTGCTCAAAAAGACTTTGGGAAAGGGTGGCAGAGATCCTCTCCAGCCAGCATATCAGAAGGTGAAATTCATTGTCAACAGAAGTGGAATTAATTACCCTTTCAGTCTATTTAGATGGGAACTGCACACAAAGCTGAAGAGGTGCAGAGAAGTTCCCTCTCTTCAGCACCCCGTTAGTCACTGAAATATGCAGGCGGACTCTTTTAGGCCGTAACACAACTCGGCCTGTAGACACCCCAGGCGCCTGACCAATAAATCATATAAATTCCTCAGACTACAGATGACTACCTATTACACAGGAAGGGGGATCACCACAGACCTTAGGAGGTGTCTACAGTTTGCTGTGATGACTGTTTTCCTATTCCCTACAGCAACGTCAGTGAAGACCATGCAGAAAATTATATTTGCCCATGCACCATATTGTCTGCCAAGAGCTGCTTGGAATAAACAAGGGCAGTTTTGGTGCATGACCACATCATTCCTTCCTGTCTCCAGGCCACAGCTGAGTAAATAGTGTTCAGTGCTGCATGATAAAGAAAGAAGGAAAAGAAAGAAGGTACCAGTCCGAATGAGTGAAAACTGGAATCCACAACTGCTACTTTGGTTGCTACCACAAATTACTGTATCTCAAGTTCCAGTAACAAATGAAGCAAATCGTGGAGAGTAAATCTGACCCCACAGCATAGGGCAGCAAGCTATAGGCACTCTACCGTGCTGTTGCAGTGGAACAAACCTGGTCATAGCACGTGCTTAAGGATGGAGACAGACTGAGTGCAATCTACATGTTAACCGTGTTCATTTACAGCTGCACATAACACTTTGTTCTGCTGCAAAGCAACTAATAACACATTCCAAAGTGATTTTAAAACAGCAGTACACTAAGAAGGAGATGGGAGACTTCATAAGTACAGATGAGTAAAGTGGTATGGCTAGAGTTGCACAGGAAGCACTTCAACTGTTCAGTCGTAATTTTTGCTGTACCGGTCTTCAAATTCCTGCCGCTACCGTGCCACTAGCAAAATCCTGACTCTTCCCTACAGATCCCACCATCTGCGAGTAGTTTATTGTCTTTTAGTGCCTGAGGCAGACTCTTCCTCATGTTTCTGAGGCAAAGTGGAGATGGAAGTTTGTCCACGTGGTACAGTCTTAGA